GCAAAACATGTTTAAAAACACCATACTGACATTCAGTGTAATGCTATTGAAGTGTGCATAATTCTGTTCTTGTACGTCGAGATGTGCCTCTGATAAATTCATAAGTTTTATACTTCCTTGTTTTCCTGGATACATAGGCCTACTGCTTCATGATGTACAAGTGAAGACTCGCATTTGGATGTGTTTTTAAGAATAAACCGCAGTTCAAAAATCTATTTTTCTTGTATGTCGAGATGCATCTTTTATAAACTCATTTTTTACTTCACTGTTCATATCTGTGTGCACGCTTAGTGTTGGTTGTGTGCTCTTTAGAGGTTTAATAACTATGATAATACCATAGGAGAGTGCTATTTATCTTTCATTTTAAATTTTAATGAGACACAAGTGACATATAAGTGTTGCTCATGTGGTTTTTCCGTATGGGTTCACTTAACTGGAACTTATTAAATGCAACGTAATATGCATGCAGTTGGAAAAATATATACTCCGTATAATTTTGGTCTCCATTCATGATGTTTATTTTGAAAGAAAAACTAAGTTCTTTCACCTTTCTTGCTGTGCGAGATATGCATTTTACCCCTTTCCATTCTCTTGTGCATCATATAACATTTGAAACTTAATTGTTTTGATTTTTCCTTTTTCTCAATAGTGGTGGAAGATATTTACAGGAGAAGACAGCCAGTCCCCACAATGGATGCCATATACTTCATCCAGCCCACAAAAGAGAAGTAACAAATCATGTTAATCATAAAATAACTTTTGAATCTTTACATAAAAATCTCAATAGCTTCTGTAGCTTGTAGCTTTTAAAATCCTAGCTCTTGAGAACTCTTCATTTTAACATGTTTGGCCTGCTATTTGATCTGCAGTGTTATGATGTTTCTCTCTGACATGGCCGGGAGATCACCTTTGTACAAAAAGTATGTTGAAGAATCACAATTTATTGAAACTGGACATCAGCTCATTTTTCATTTTATCTTTTTGGTGAAAAAGTAGAGTTCAGATGTCAAACTTTAATCTCAGATCTGGATAAATGAAGTAGCTCTATTCTTTTGCTTGACCCCATTTCTCTAATGTCCAACAGTACAAGTTTTGGCACCTATATTATGGTTTGATAAAAATTTAAAACATTCAATGTTTCTCACTTTGAGCTTGTGCATTGCAATAATTTTCTTAGGGCATTCGTCTTCTTTAGTTCCTCTATTTCGAAAGAACTTGTCGATCAGATAAAGAGGGATACTAGTGTTCTCTCTCGAATTGGTGCCTTGAGAGAGGTTAGTCTGTCTCCTGTAGACTGTTCATTATGCTTTTAATATTTTCATTTGCTTTACTGATTTTTGGATTTAACATACAGATGAACTTGGAATACTTTGCCATAGATAGTCAGGTATGTATGGTGCTAGTTCCTCCATGTTAGGTACTACACTTAAGTTCTCAGTATTAAAAAAAGTAGGGTTCTGTGCTTTTCGCTTTAACTATGACAAGTAGAGAAACAATTAAGCTTTATATGGTATTTCTTTCTATTTTTTTGGCTGGCTATGTAAATTTTGCTGGTGAAATGTTCTAAAATGGATTTGGCAAGAATAACTGTCCATTGTGTGGAGCAAATAATCCTTTTTAGACAATTAGACAAGTGCTAGTGCTTTAAGCCTTTAACTAGCGCAGATGTCACGGTGATCCTTGTGTAATTTGTTGATTATTGACAAACTTAAGTCCCACTTATAATTAAAGTCAAATCTTTTATGTTATCTATCATTGTGTATGCTTTATGTTAGGGTTTTATAACTGATAATGAGAGGGCCCTAGAGGAACTATTTGGAGATGATGAGGGTTCTCTAAGAGGTGATGCATGTCTAAGAGTGATGGCCTCCCGTATCGCTACAACATTTGCCTCATTGCGGGTATGCTGCGAAGATCTTGAGTCTAATTTATTAGACTAAAATGAGCACTGCTGACTACTGACTATCCATCACTTTGACTTCTACAGGAGTTTCCATTTGTTCGCTACCGTGCTATCAAATCTATTGACCCGACCACAATGACTACATTTCGTGATTTGGTTCCAACAAAGCTTGCTGCAGCTGTATGGAATTGTCTTGTGAAGTATAAATCTACACTTCCTCACTTCCCACAAACAGAAACATGCGAGCTTCTTATTGTAGATAGATCAGTTGATCAGGTCATTGAATGCAGCCTCTTTATCCTTTTTGAAGTTGCTTGTTTAATTTTCTCCACTCATGTTCTCTATTTTCTAATTTTTTAGGTTGCTCCAATAATACATGAGTGGACATATGATGCCATGTGTCATGATTTGCTGGACATGGAAGGAAACAAGTATGTGCATGAGGTAGATCATGCGTTTAGTTTTGTGTATTAATTATATTTTGTATCTTCCTTGTTGAAGTAATATACCGCTTAGGTTCCGAGCAAAATGGGTGGGCTTCCTGAGAAGAAAGAGGTTCTTTTGGAGGATCATGACCCTATCTGGTTAGAGCTCCGACATGCACATATTGCAGATGTATGTTCATTCCTTTACTTTCAAGTAATGAAACATAGATGCATTCTATTGTTGATCAACAATTGAATTGTCAGGCTAGTGAACGTCTACATGAAAAGATGACAAATTTTGTCACAAGAAACAAAGCTGCACAAATCCAGCATGGTTCAAGGTTAGCATTATTTTCATTTCTAGAAATCTTTTAATCTGCCATTCTGAAATTTTCAAGTATTTAGCAATCACATACTCCATCAAGTAGCAGAGTACTGGAATGCTTATTTGTTACCGCAAACTGATTATTTTCCTGTAGAGATGGTGGCGAGTTGTCTACACGGGATTTGCAGAAAATGGTTCAAGCTCTTCCTCAATATAGTGAACAAATTGAGAAGCTCTCACTCCATGTGGATGTGAGTTTTGTACATGTTGCATTTGGTTGTTTTTAATTGAGCTAATGCTTTCGTTTTATATTTCCAACTATTGGGTGTGCTCTGGTAGCTGACCGTTTATGGATACATGTTTATTTCAAGTTTCATCTAATATTTGATTCTACACCAACTCTCCAATGGGGGAATAAGATCTAACCACACAAGCACTGGAGTAAAGTGACATTGTTCTTGAAAGCAGGCTAGTTCCCCTAGAATGATTCACTTCCAGGCGGGCAACCCTAGAGAGGCTAGGCCCTCAACTGCGTGCCCTAGATGGGCTAGGTCCCAAAATAGGCTCCCTAGATGGCCTAGCGTCAAGTTTTGGTGCCCAAGTAACATATAGTGAATTTTAGAAGATTGAGTACTAGTAGCTGGAATCAGTTTGTCACTTTGGTGTTACTTCACATTTTAAAGGTGATTGTTAGGAGCAACAATTACGGGATGCTTGGTTGGAAGAAAGGAATGACTGATGAATATAGTGGGGGCATGAATATGATTTCAAATGTTAAATAGGAATGAGCGTGTAATATAAAAAGAAAAAATAATACCTATGGTTTGGGTAGGAGGTAGGAACTCTTTTTCCTCTTGTATGAGGATTTATAATTCCTAGGAAGATACTTTTTGTTAAGTAAACAGGGAAATTGAATGATGTGCAGAGTTATTGTCTGTTAGCTGGTTTGTAAAAGAAACAAAATTTCATTGCATACCTTAGTAATTGTTTGAATAGTTTTTTTTCACAAATATGATAGGTATTGTACAAATAAAAGTATTGATTTTGTACGAATTCATGCTCATCAATTGTGAATGCAGCATTTAGTACCATGTTGTGGATGTTAATATAGCTACAAACTAAAGTTAAGGGAAATCATCTGATTGTTGAAGGGACACAAATGGTTATATGCCCCGCGTCTATTCTGTTCGGCTATTTGAGCATTTCCATTGTTAATAAATAGGACTATACGAATTTGTTTTTCGAGCTCCATATTTCAAGACGGCTGCCAAAGCACAGCTATCTCACTTCTACAAAGTTATAGTGACCAGCCAATGAGGTCGCCAATTTCGCGCCTAGGATGCTAATTTTGCACCAAGACCACTTATTTAATGCATCTGCATGGCTCCCTAAGCTGCATTATGATGGAATATGCATTTTTAGTGCTGTCAATTCGTAACCTTTGTCAACTCAGAAATGTTAAACAACTTGTTGAGCTGCTTTTATTGCTAAATTAAATAAGAGAGTAAAACAAGGCCATTCACCACTTAGTATGTAAGTTTGAAAAAAAACGCTTGGTGCTCATACTAAGGTTGTGAACTTTTTAATAAAGTTAACACATTCTGCTCATTATCATCATAACAAGAATTTATGGAATATCACTTTTGTTTCATTGAATAACTTTTCTCATTGTAACTGTCGTTTTGGCTGATTTTGTATGTTGCTAGATTGCTGGAAAGCTGAACAAAATTATCAGAGAGTTTGGGCTTAGAGAGCTAGGGCAGTTAGAGCAAAATCTCGTCTTTGGAGATGCAGGGACTAAAGATGTTATCAATTTTCTGAGAATGAATCAGGTGGGAACTGTATACTTTACTTTCTAAAGTTCATTTGTACTTGAAACTATATCTTCTAACTTTCTCCTGCAGGATGTAAATCATGAAAACAAGTTGCACCGTGAAAACAAGTTGCGCTTGTTAATGATATATGCAGCAGTTCATCCTGAGAAATTCGAAGATGATAAACTTGTAAAACTAATGGAGGTAACTACCTTTACTTGGGCTAAAAATAACTGTTGAAACATGACAATATGATAGTCTTTGTTGAAGAAGTAACATAACAAGTACTCTCCATATTCCTTTATATCTTGTATGTATAAAAGAGTGCTTTTGTTTTCTTTACATTCTTTTTTTTTAATTCTTTTCTGTTCAAGCCAGCTCCTGCTTGTAACAGTAAATAAAAACAACTGGTAATCAATATTAATCCAAGTATGACTCATCTGTTTGACATAGGGATTGTCATGTGTGTAGATGTCAGCTATTTATTTTTATTCATGTGTGTTGAAATATAAACCAGAATGATATTAAAGATGTAGAGAATGATTTTCTGTATTTTTTATTGAAGGGTAAGGCCCTATAAATATAGATTACAAAGGTAGAATATGCCTATAAAAGATGCTATACAATAATACTATATATGGTATATTCCTAATATATTCTAAAGCATATTCTAAAGTATATTCTAATATACTTTCACACTCCCCCTCAAGTTGGAGCATAGATATTTATCATGCCCAACTTGTTACATAAATAACCAACTCGAATTCCATTTAGTGCTTTAGTGAACAAATCTCCAAGTTGTTCCCCAGTCTTCACATATCCTGTAGAGATAAATCCTTTTTGTATCTTCTCTCGAATAAAATGACAATCGACCTCAATATGCTTTGTTCTCTCATGAAATACAGGATTGTTTGCTATGTGTATAGCAGCTTGGTTATCACACCACAATTTAGCAGGCATTGATGTCTTCAGTCCGAGCTCGGTCAATAAATGGCTTATCCATATGATCTCACATGCAGATTGTGCCATAGCTCGATATTCTGATTCGGCACTCGAACGAGAAACCACATTCTGCTTCTTACTCTTCCAAGATACAAGATTACCACCAACAAAGACACAATAACCAGATGTAGATCTTCGATCATCTTTAGAACCGGCCCAATCAGCATCTGCAAAACATTCTATTCTCATGTGATCATGGTTTTGATAAACAATACCTCGTCCTGGTGCACCCTTTAAGTAACATAATATGTGTTCTACTGCAGCCCAATGATCAATGGTTGGAGATGACATGTATTGACTCACTACACTCACAGAATAGGCAATATCTGGACGAGTGACTGCGAGATAATTAAGCTTTCCAACCAGTCTTCTATATCTTTCTGGGTCTTCAAACGGTGTGCCTTCTTGAGTGAGTTGCACGTTGGGAACCATGGGTGTTGTACTTGGTTTTGCCCCTAATTTCCCTGTCTCAGCTAGTAAGTCAAGTACATATTTACGTTGAGATAGAAATATGCCTTTCTTACTTCGTGTTACCTCAATTCCCAGAAAGTATTTCAGAGAGCCAAGATCTTTCGTCTGGAATTGACTATGCAGAAAATTCTTAAGGGCCAAAATACCTGCATTATCACTCCCTGTAATCACAATATCATCAACATACACCACAAGCAATGTGACACCTGATTTTGTTTGTTTGTAAAAGACAGAGTGATCTGATTTGCCTTTTATCATTCCAAATTGTTCAATTGATTGACTGAATTTCCCAAACCATGCACGAGGACTCTGTTTCAGACCATAAAGAGATTTGCGAAGTCGACAAACTTTACCGTACTCCCCCTGAGCAACAAATCCCGGAGGTTGCTCAATATAGACTTCTTCTTTAAGGTCACCATGCAAAAATGCATTTTTAATGTCCAACTGATGTAAGTGCCAATCATGAGTGGCAGCGAGTGAAATAAGTAACCTGACAGATGTTAATTTAGCAACAGGAGAAAAAGTGTCAGAATAATCAACACCATAGGTTTGAGCATAACCCTTCGCAACTAATCGGGCTTTCAACCGAGCAACAGATCCGTCTGGGTTAACCTTAACAGCAAAGACCCACTTACATCCAATAGATTTCTTCCCTGTAGGCAAGTCAACCAAATCCCAAGTACCATTAAGGTCTAAAGCATTCATTTCCTCTACCATGGCATGACGCCATTCAGGATGAGACAAAGCTTCTTTGACAGATTTGGGAACGGAAATAGAATCAATGGAAGCAATAAAAGAACATGAAGTAGGAGATAACTGATTGTATGACACAAATGAAGAAATAGGATGAGTACAAGACCGCGTACCTTTACGTAGTGCTATTGGGAGGTCAAGATCTGATGTGGACACAAGATCTGAAGATGCAGGTACTGGTTCAGGACATGAGATCGGAGTCGAACTAGTATCAGGATAAGTAATCACAGGTATCGCCGGTGGAGGGTGATCAGGTGCTTTGTGTCGACGGGTGTATACCAAATGTACGGGAGGCCTAGGGTCAGGAACAGTAACTTGTGGAATATTTGTTGAAAGTGTGGACTCGGGAATAGTCATCGTGTAAATGAGTATATCATCATTACTCTCATGAATATCTGCCTTAGATGATGAAAAAGGTGTATTTTCATGAAATGATGCATCAATAGAAACAAGATACCGACCAGTACTCGGACAAAAACATCTATACCCCTTTTGGACTCGAGAATAACCCAAGAAAATACATTTTAATGATTTGGGATCTAACTTTGTAAGATGAGGATTAACATCTCTAACAAAACAAGTGCAACCAAATATTTTAGGTGGGATAGGAAAAAGCTCTTTGTTTGGAAATAGGCAATGATAAGGAGCTTTACCATTCAAAACAGAAGATGGCATTCGATTTATCAAAAAACATGCAGTAGACACGGCATCTGCCCAAAACTGTTTAGGCACATTCATTTGGAATAGAAGAGCTCTTGCAGTTTCTAACAGATGTCGGTTCTTTCGTTCTGCAACTCCATTTTGAGGAGGTGTGTCAACGCACGAAGTTTGATGAATAATGCCATGTTGAAGCATAAATGACTTAAATGTAGCAGATAGATATTCTTGAGCATTGTCTCCTCTTAACACCCTAACAGGAACGTTAAACTGAGTTTTAATTTCAGCACAAAAGGAAGAAAAGTGAGTGAACAACTCAGATCGACGTTTCATGAAATACAACCATGTCATACGAGAATAGTCATCAACAAAGGTAACAAAATATTTAAAACCAGCTTTAGACACAACCGGGCAAGCACCCCAAACATCAGAGTGAACAAGGTCAAATGGAGCATTTGCTCGTTTATTAACTCGAGGGCTTAAGCTAGTACGATGGTGTTTCGCAAATTGACATGACTCACATTGTAAAGAGGTCATCGTATTAAATTGGGGATTTATTTGCTTCATTAATGGGAGAGATGGATGTCCTAATCGGTAATGAGCATCTAACAAAGTCCCAACCCCAAGACAAGAGATACCTTTTGTGATTGATGTATCCAAAATATAAAGACCAGCTGACTCATGTCCTTTACCAATAGTCTGCTTCGTTAACAGATCCTGAAACACACAATATCCAGGAAAAAATGTTACAGAACAATTAAGAGTACGCGTGATTTTACTGATGGAAAGCAGATTAAATGCAAAATTAGGAAGACTTAAAACAGGCGATAATGGTATTGTAGAAGTTGGAACAACAGTACCAGATCCAAGAACGGGTGAGGTAGATCCATCAGCTAAAGTGACACTAGAAGTAGGTAAATATGAATGAAATGACGAGAATAGACTAGGATTACCGGTCATATGATCCGTGGCACCTGAGTCAATGACCCATTTCGAGGATGATGAAACAAGACATGTGTTTGAAATACCTGAATTCGCGGCTACCGAGATAGGGACAAATGAATGCTTTAGAGATTCTTGGTAGCAAATAAATTTGGCATACTCGTCTGAAGAGATGGCAATTGATCCATCCGATGTACCGGCAGCGGAAGCAACATGAGCAAGCTGATTTCCTTGATTTTTGAACAACAATTTTCTACATTCTTTAATCAAGTGTCCGGGCTTCTTGCAGTAATTGCATTTTACTTCTCTGCCAAACTGAGTGGTACAAGACATTTTTTTTTTTTTCAGTTGGCAGTGAAATGAAAATTTGGGATACTAGGGTAATAGTCAAAACTTACGGACTCCAGGCTGGAATATCAGCTAGAATAGTTCTGAGCCTTTAATAATCAAGAAGTCGTAAACATCAGACACCACAGACCAGCACGACACCTTTAGGCAGTCTCATCCGTTCCTTGCTTGGAGAAAGAACCAAGAGAGAATTCCAAAATGGAAATAGAGTATACCTGAAACTACCGGGCACAGGTTGTAGAGGACCCACATGCGAGTCAGGAGATGATTACCGATCAAATCTCCCGCCAGAAACGAAGTCGCACGCGCCGGCGCGTGCAACGGCGGCGAGCACTCCGGAGGCGCGTGTAATTCACGTGCGTCGATTTGGAGCTGCGGATTTTGAAGTCTTTGTCGCCGACGGCATTCGCACCAGATTACTAGGTCCACGTTCACCGCACCAGATTTGGAGGCTAGGAGGGTTGCCGGCTTCTGAGATCGGAGGTTCTGGGAAAAATTCGGGGAAGAGTCTGGGACAAGGTTCTGGGAGTCTGGACTGAAATCAATTTCTAGGAGAAAGAAAACAGTCTGAAAACTAAACTCAGATATGAAAAAAAAAAACTAAGCTGAAAAGAATACAGAGGTTCTGTGAACTGAGATTCTGAACTAAACTGATATTCTGGAAACAAAGGAACCAGCCTGAAAACTAAATTGAAATGGGAGGCTCTGATACCATGTTGAAATATAAACCAGAATGATATTAAAGATGTAGAGAATGATTTTCTGTATTTTTTATTGAAGGGTAAGGCCCTATAAATATAGATTACAAAGGTAGAATATGCCTATAAAAGATGCTATACAATAATACTATATATGGTATATTCCTAATATATTCTAAAGCATATTCTAAAGTATATTCTAATATACTTTCACAATGTGTTAGGGCCCAGGAAAGTTGGGTCTGCATCTTTGACTATATGATACTCCATCCATCTAAAAAAGAATCGTATCCCAAGAACTTTTTGTTCCATAAAAGAAATAAGATTCTGGTTTAGAAGTCAGGTTTCATTTTGAGTGAAATTTCCATAAAGCCAAGCGGCAAACAATTTTATGCAAGTACTCCAAACAATCTTGGAAATAAGTTTTACGGGTCGAAGTGACCATTCATTACTTGTAAAATCTTATACTTAGGCAAGGGTCTGGGGAAGGGGCCGACACATTGTCATTTTGACAAGACGCCTTGCTCAAGACGTAAACCTGTGACCTCTCACTCACCCAACAACACTGTACCCTGTGCGCCAAGGCTCCCCTTCTATACCTTGATTTAGTTGGCTAAAAATAACAATTTGTACCTTCTTCAAATCTGGACTCTTTCTTTTCAAAAGAAGGGAGTATATTTTCTTTTCCTTTTTCTTTTTTTTCTTTTCTCAGCTTCCTATATTTCAAAAAGTACCAACTTCATTCGTAGTGAATATATATAGAGATTTAGTATTGGTGCTAATTCTTTTGGTGCATCTTGATATTTGTGTTTAGTTAGCAAGGTTGCCTCAGGATGATTTGAATGCTGTGTACAATATGAGGTTACTGGAGGCTGCATCGGAAAACAAAAAAAGCTCAATTGTACCATTTTCTCTTAAGTTTGATATTAATAAGGTGTGTGTAACTGGATGTTTAGCTGATCTTTGTGTGTGTGTGTGTGTGTCTGTGCTGTATGTGCTCCTTCTCATCAGTAAATTATCTTGGATTTACAGAAGAAGCATTCTTCTGCTAGAAAAGACCGCAAAGACGAAGAATCGACATGGCAACTATCTCGTTTCTTCCCCATGATTGAGGTTCAATCCAATCATTGAAATATCTTTGTGAAGAATTGGTGGATATTTAAATATCGATATAGGATAGTTTTTGGGCAAAGAATATATTTTCAAAGTTTTTCGAGAAAAAATAATGAGATTTCTGATATTCCACGTTCTTTAGAATTTTCATCTTCCCCTATATATATACACCACACACCAGAGACCTCAAATTGTAGAAATTTTTCGACAATATTGGGTTTTGTTGATCATTGCATGCAGTCACACCTGTACAGCTGTACTTAGCATTTCTTGAAAGACTGGTTATCGTGTTTCCACATAGGGTATGTTTGGATCCCAAAAAATGCTCTCGGTAAAGGCAAGAAACATGCTATAAAGTTATTTTCTTGTGTTCGGTTTTACCACGGAGATTGCAAAGGAAAATTTACAATTTTAAAAAAATTTGACATTTGCTCAGATTTCTTAGTATATTAATGATAGAAATAGACACGACAATGAGTTTTAACAATATCAAAGATAAATCTATGTAGTTAGTACAAATGTTTTCTTTTCACTCGCATTTTATTTTCTTCCATAACTCCATTATATTTTCTCTCACTAGCATTTTCCGAACTCCCTTACATTTTTCTCTATTTTCTTTCCTAAGGAACTTGTTGAAAGGTTGAGTAAAGGGGATTTACCCCAGGATGAGTATCCATGCATGAACGATCCAAGTCCATCATTCAATGGGACCTCCCAGGTTGGTGCATCGATGCGACTTAATAGTGTTCCAGCTCCTCATTCTATGAGATCTAGACGGACTGCAACATGGGCGCGCCCTCGAGGTTCTGATGATGGCTATTCAAGGTACAGTCCCATGTGCTCCAATTTAGAGCCTGTAGTTCGGGAAGAGATAATCGGCTACCAAAAAGACTTAAATGGCTTAAACTGCTGAAACTATGGTGAAAATTTTGAATTAACTCAATAGGAGAATGAATTATCTAAACGTATGTAATTTTGCAATGAATATAAGTTAATGGACAAATGACTACAAAGACCCATACTTTCCAATGACCCACAATTTCTTTCCAAATTACTCACACTCTCTTCACTTGCGTCATGTTAATTATTCATCTTCTGACATGTGATCTAATCTCGTTATTTCTTTTAGTGATTCGATTCTGAGGCATGCATCAAGTGACCTTAAGAAAATGGGTCAACGCATTTTTGTGTTTATAGTTGGTGGGGCTACTAGATCTGAGGTATATATACACACTTCTCATACAGTACACAATATACATGCCACACATAATACCATAATATTTTATGGTATTTTACAGTTACGAGTTTGTCACAAATTAACAACAAAGCTAAAGAGGGAAGTGATATTAGGTTCATCCAGCCTTGATGATCCTCCTAAATTTATTACGGTATGCAAATTGAATACTTATTTATTCCCTTCCCCGGTTCCCCCCCACCCACCCACCCACCCACACGCTAGTAGGGCTGTAGTGAACTAAGCGGAGCCAATATTTTGATAGTTTTTGTTTGCCTCGTTTATTGTTTGGCTGAGCCTAAGTTTATAAGCTCAGTGAGATATTTCTATATATTTATATAACCAAACAAATTTTAAAATTATGATTAAGGGCTTCTTGGGTTTTTACCACTACTTTTGAATTTTTGGTTTTATGATTTTAAGATTTGTATGACAGATGTTTAATAATGAACTTCGACAAAGTAGTCATACTTTAATTACTCATACTAACCATGTTTAATTATTAAAAACGCCTAAGAAACGGCAAACCACAATCTTTTTTTTAGTTTTTGAAAAACAAAACAGGAAACATAAAATGATAGTTGATAACAAACATCTAAATGTTTAAGCATATGTTCTAAATTTATGACTTGTATGAGAAATTTATGACTTGTTATTTTTTAAATTATAACAATCTGGGTCAATGAGCAAAAAGTAATGTTGTTCCAAATATCTCACGAACAGATTGGCTCATCCCCCCCACCCCATAATGTTTCGCTGATGCTGTATTACTAACTGGTGCAGAAACTGAAACTCTTGACTGCCAATGATCTATCTTTGGATGATCTGCAAATCTAAGCTGGTTGCAAGCATTTGGCCTGTCATTTCCATAGGCCAGCATTTCTATTGTATTCATATATAGATCCTGTCATCCCAATTCATTTTATGACCTTCCATTCCATTAGATTCGTAAGGCTTACAGTTGTATACCACTCCGCTGTGTGTATAAATATCCTTCATGTTGCTTGCCCCTAGAGGAAAGCATGCATTGTGTAGATGTTATATTTTCTTCTTTCTCTTCCTTATAATTAGTCTTTGTTTTTTTTTTTAATTTCTGCACGTTTTTTCATCTGACAAGTCTTCTCCTATTAGGCATTGCTGCCTTTTTCTGCCTTTTGACTTGGAACTTGGAAGCATGCATGAGTGAATGACTCTTTTTGTCAACTGGTGTGCTCCTGCTTATTGAAAATTCGAGATGAGATAAAGAAATCAGAATCTTATATTGACAATGGTTTCTAATGTTAAAATATAACAAAAAAATGATTTTTTTTTCTCTCTCAAAGAATGAGATGTTATGTTTTTGAAGAAAAAGAGTACATCCCCCACCCATCATTTGTAACTTTGCCACGTTGGGTGACACATGAAATAAAGTAGCAAAAATTGTATTACATAAAGTGGTAAAGTGTGTTGCAATAAGATAAAGAAAGTAATCAAATTTACCAAGGCAATTGGCATGTTTTCTATTTTTTTCCCCTTTTTACATGAAAAATACTAGTTATATTCTCTAATATCGTATTGGCAACAATGTTTAGACGCATTGTGGCATTGCGCTATACCCAATCTTCCAAGTTTTAACAAGTTGATTTTTTTTAGAAAAGCTGAGTTTTGAGCAAGTTTTGGAAGGAGAAAGAACTTAGGACTATAGGAGTGATTGAGGAAATAAAATAAGAGTTTTTTTTTTCTTTGGCAGCTTGAGTTTTCAAAGAAGTTACTAAATAATGACCACGTTTTCTATTTCGAGTGTTAACAATGACTGTTTTTTTAATGTTAACAAACATGAACAGGCGAAACAAAGAATATATATATAGTGTGACTTAACAATGACTGTTTTTTTTTCATGTTGTTTGAAGTAATATTTCTATTTCGAGTGTTAACAATGACTGTTTTTTTTTTCATGTTGTTTGAAGTAATCGAGCTATGTATGAGGCCTATGAATGCAAGTAAACAAAAACATTCCACTTGACTTAATAATAGTGTGACTTGTGACTGAAAGTTCTATGAAATAGAAAGGGATAAGGGTCAGATAGGGCCTCGAACTCGAAAAAAAATGTCAAATAAGGTCATATTTAGGATGCTCTGTCCGGCCGACGCCATTTGGGGCGGTTCCAGATGCCATTTTTTGATGAATTTTTTTGAGCATCTTCCTCATTAAGTCTAGTTTACCCATACCAAATTTCAGCTAAAAATTCAACCGGGAAGGTAGTCAAATAATTTTTTGAAGATAATTGTGAAGTTAAACAACCCCGTACATTTCGGAAAATCATTTGACTACCTTCCCGGTTGCATTTTTAGGTGAAATTTGGTATGAGTAAACTAGACTTAATGAGGAAGATGCTCAAAAAATTTCATCAAAAAATTCCATCGGGAACCACCCCAAATGGCGTCGGCCGGACAGAGCATCTTAAATATGACCTTATTTGACATTTTTTTTCGAGTTCGAGGCCCTATCTGACCCTTATCCCAAATAGAAACAATATGATTTTCGGCATACCAATTAAATATATATTCTACTCATTTCTCAACTAGTATTGTTTGTCTAAATTCTAGTAAGCTAATGATTTTCCTATAACCCTATTGCACTATACCCGATTTTAAAGTAACTTAGTTGGGACCCCTTTTGTTTCAAAATTCATATGAGGTGATCTTTTTCACTTGATAGGAACTCCGTTGTGAACGAGTTATCATATCATCACCCCATATCCATTACTTACATATAATTTCATATAACTAACCATTTGTTTTTATAATCTTTTTTCTTTGTTCTCTTCTATTTTGTTAGTTGTGCCGTATAAACGATAAAGAGCCGCAGTTTCATGCGTAATAGTAATTGCACATTCAACATAATATTTGTCTTTTCTGTTTTTTAATTTTTCTGAATTAATGAGTTTCCAGGCTCTCTAAAATTTCTTATCTTACATTCTTCTAGGATAAAATACTCGTAAAACAACAACATTACCTAAGTGGGTAAGAGGGCCGGATGTACACAAACTGTTTCAGGATAACCCACGATGAAAATCGTGTAAAAATTAAATAGACTGCTACTTACTAATAAACAAGCTAGATGGTTGATTGAGACAATTTGGGAGGGGACTAAATTTGAGAAAACACGTAGATATATGGACACATAATACTCCTGACTAATTGGTGTGCGTACGTATAAATAGTCGTGATTAATTGGTGCCCGGCCACAACAAGCGAGCCAATTGCAGATCGATATGTGGGTATGGGTGGTTTTGTTCTTCCTGCTCCTCGCTATCATCGTTTTGGTTGCTTTCCAGGTCCATTTTTCTGCTATTTTTGGCATCTCCATACCCATTTTCCCTCTTTCGCCCCATTATATTATGTCGATTTATTTATCTCATCTGTTTCTTTTTCCATGCAAAAGGATGCTATTCCCAAATGAACAGTACCGATGGCTTCCGTTTTCCATTTTCCAATTCTTTTCTAATTGGATACTCACACAAATATTTACGGAGTAGTATCTCATCTACAACAATTGTATGTCAAAACATTAAACTTTGGCCCTAGATATGAACTTTTTGTGGGCTTTCACTTGGATTGAAATTATTTTTTTCTGGTCGGGTCTGACTTAGTCTGACATGAACGAATCTGAGTAACGGATTTAGGATTTAGGTTTTGGTTGTTCAATTCTTTTTAAGTAAACTTTTCGAAAGAGGAGTAAAAACGTGTTGAGATTTCAAAATAGAAATACTACTCCCTCCGTCCCAAAATGGTTGGCTAAATTTCCTTTTTTGGCTGTCCCAAAAAGGTTGGTCATTTCCATTTAAAGTAATAAATATGTGGCTAAAGTTAATTCTCCCTCTTCTGCACAAATTTCAACCACACAGTTTTTACTTTATTAATCCACGTGCAAGTCAACATTGGCCAACCATTTTGGGACGGAGGGGGTATTTTTTAAGCTTATATACTACCACAATAAGAAGTATTTTCTAAACTTGTCAATAATTACTCATACTTAGGGAATAAAAACATAATACTCACTTTTAAAACTTAAAAATAATATTATTAAACTAATTTTACACATGTACACTTATATGTTTTCAATATTTTGGGTGTTCGTGTGAACGTCTTTGATCTATCTAATATGGCTCTGCAACTGACTGGTCTCGTAGAGGTCATAATATATCTATATTTTACTATTGTTTAAGTAGTCTGAGCTAATCTGTTTAAGAATGATATAATTTGGTACAGTCTAAGACTGAACACAACTAATTTTATAATACTACTCTAAGACTGAACAGTTCAAGTGAAAGCATCCTTTCATAATACAATATTATTGGCTCAGCCAATACTAGGGGTCTGAGACAGGATCACCTTAAGTTTAGTAAAAACAATTCAATTAACATGACTAAAAGTTATAGAGTACTATAGTAGAATGGTTTTCTCTCTAAAAAATATTACTAAAATAAAACTTATTTAGATATGACTAATACTTACTACAATAAGGTGTCTTAGTAACTCATGTTTAAAAATTGAACATAAGTTCATATGACTCCATTACTACTCTCTATTCACTAGTGACATTTTTGTAAAGAGTCTTTATTTTAGTCATATGCATGTAATTATTTCTAGTATAATACTACAGTTAGTACTATAATCATAACATTTAATAAGTAACATTTTATGTAAACAACCTTCATTTTAATCATGAATTTGTAGCTATTTGAATATACTGCGACCATTATAAAATACACATTGACCAAACATCTATCAAACTAGTTCTGACCAAACCCGATTAGACTTAAACATGTCAGACCAGATTAGACCATAAAATTCCAGTCTAATGAAAAACACCATAAATATTGTGTATATTATTAAAGTTATTTATGTCCCCTCTGCACAAATATCAACCACAGTTTTTACTTTATTACGCTACATGTAAATCAAACTTTACTAAGTTTTGTGGGACAAGGGGGTATAAAACTATAAATTTTAAAGTATGTTTTAGTTTGTTTTTGAAAAAATTGTTGTGTTTTAATACATGATCTAATAGTTTATTTTTTTTTCACAGCTTATGTGTTTGGCTGATCTAGAATTCGACTATATCAACCCTTATGACTCTGCCTCTAGGATTAACCAAGCTGTTCTTTTTGAGTTCATTGTACAAGGAGTTTTGTGCTTACTCTATCTAGGAACCGGCCATTGGATTATGTCGCTTCTTTGCTGTCCTTACTTATACTACGATGTGCACCTGTAAGTTCTAAAAACCATTATAAGACTAATTGTAATTGAAGTGTTTTGTGATTACTATGCAAGACCTAGTATAAGTATAAAACTCTAAAATGCATAACCTCCTGAATGTAAGTCATGTTTGTTGTGATGCGTTAAGGAAAGATTTCATATGCATTAGAAGCTTTGCACTCTTTAGAAGTTCAATGTATTTGTTTGGTCATCTTTCTTTTTTGTTTTAGAGTAAATAAATTTATCTATAACCTGCATTCTTGATTTCGCTCAGTTTCTTTTTCTGTTATTTCTTATATTTTGTTCTAGGTGAATAAAAGGCATCCTTTTGGCGTATAGATTATCTTGTAACACCCACCACTGTTTAATACTCTTTGTATTAGATATTTGCAGAAACAACACTTTATGGATGTGACGGAGATTTTTAACCAGCTCAATTGGGAGAAAAGGCAAAGGCTTTGGAAACTTGGGTATCTTGTTATTCTCTTCATCATCTCCTTAGTTGTGTAAGTCACAAAACTGGTCAATTAAACCACATGTAGAACTCCAAGAGTTGCAACTTGCAAGCATGGCTTTTTTACTTGTTTGATGAAAGGAACTAAGACTTGCACGTTCATTGTGTAGGTTGATACGTTGTGTCGTGGAAGACGATGATCAAACGTTAAAATATCCTTTGTAGTCTACCAATTCTCACATTTTAAGGCAAGGGTTTGTACACATTAAGGCACAAACTGTGATCAGAACCAATAATGACTTTACATTCGGTAAAGTCGGACCAATTCCTATTGAATTTGTTAATTAAAAGCAAAATCAGGTACTGGTACTGACTAGACCAGTACCGCTTGGAATTGATTTGGAATTAAAAGCAAAACTGAATCGATTTGGAATTGATTCTGAATTTCTTGCTTAGAACTCAAAATCAGGTCAATCATGGGTCTACTGTGCATCTTAAAATTGTATGTTTCATATCTTTTAATAATGTACTACAAGTTTATAACTATGACTATAATGCAGGAGGCTCAGAACATAAGACCAAAATAAATAACAGAATTTTAATTAAGGTGAAATTCAACAGTCCTACTAATACATCTAAACATTCTACACCACTGAGGAGCATAGTTGCCTATCTAATGCACTACTCTCTCATCAAGTATTACAACACAGATCTTAATGAAATTAATTAATTTGCAGATACAAGGATTTTACTTGACACCAAAATGGTTGAGGTAAAAGAAGCCTGGGTGAGAATTGATTGTTTTATCCCCTTAACTCACCATGTTATGCAGGCTAGGCTCATTCATATCAGTTGGCTTATTCCTAGAGTCCGGGTGCAGATGGATTGAAGAGGGGGATAACAAGGCGGGCTTCCCAGAAGTGCGATAATAGTTTTCAGTTTCTGGACTGCGGATGGGAGCAGAAGCACCAAATGCAACTCTCTCCTGCCTCTGTTTCTTAGTGTTCTGCTGCTCCTGTTGATTCTCGGCAACGAAGCTGCCCACTACAATCTGTTTGATGCATATATTAACAAGAGATAACATTCATTATAAACAAATGCAATTTACAACTACTTTGTTCTTTTTGTAAGATTGATTACACCTACCTTCTTTGATATTCACTCAAATTACCGAATGGTCCTCAAGACATTATCATAAGTGGGTGTTCAAAAGTTATTCTACATTGTTTTGAGCAAATATGAAATAACAAATCAATATTATATGTGGTTTGACCATTTAGGAATGGATCCAAAGCTAAATGTGGTATTTGAGTCAACGGTTGGCATGATGTCGCCATTGCCCTTTAAAAGATGTGCGGTCCAAGTGATGTATTGAACCACAAGGATGTGTGCCCTTATGAGATGAAAGAAATGAAGGATTGATTAAATTGGGTCAAGCTCACTGAATATATTAGATGGAGATCTAGAAAACATTCAATGTGAGACACGTAACATGCCTCGAGACAAGTTAAAAAGATTCTTGGGGGCAAATGTAAGGGCAAGCTAGTCTGTAAAAAATCAAAATACTACTAATATCATTGTATCGCATCATTATTTGGAGTCATTTGTGGAAAAAACGACTTTTTAAAGGGTTTGTTAACAAGGATCATGGAGTAGTATATAACCCCTTTTTGATATCATTTCTAGAGAAAGTAGCTAGGAAAAAGATAAAAGAAATGCGTATAGTATACCTGAATGGGAGCAGCGGCTACTAACATACCAGCAACAGCACCACCTACAACTCGTCCATCGGGGCTTGCTAGAGAAACACTCATCCCACCTGATCTGTTACGGATTCCTCCCGTCTCAGACGGCATAAATGATCCAGTCAATGACAGTATCTCAAAACGGCCCTATAGAATAAAATTAAAGTCATTGGCAAAACTCAAACCTATAATGGGTTCTATAAAAAAAAGTCAAGAAAAAAAAAGCAAAAAGTAAATGTAGGAAGCATTGTTCAATAATATTTTGTATTCCTGATTAAGTAATACTCCGTATGTATTATACAAATCAAATATATACATATAAAACTATCAAGCTGTTTATTTGAATCATATTGGTAAACAAAAATATAATATCATTATAATGTCTTACTTTTTACATTCCTTTCACGTTAAAAATAAGAAATATTTCAAGTTAAAAAAGATGTATATGCAAATTCAAAATCATATTCAAATTACTTTGTTATCTTTACAAGATGTAGGCACATAATCATATGTAGTATTGAAATTACTTTTTATTTTATTTTTACAAGTATATAAACTGTCATTATTTTTAAAAGATGTAGGCAAAGTACACTGCTACAATTAAGCATAAAAAATTATATATTACGTAGTACGTATTAAACTAATATTAAGTAGTTTATTTAGATTATTCTCAATTACTCTATAAATATTTGAAAAAGAGATTGCCTATATAGGAGTAAAAGCAATATAAAATTCGAAATTAGGAGTTTATGTTTTCCCCCATAAATAGGTTTAATTATCATGCTTGGAAAATACTACAAATTAAGGCATTAATACTACCACATTAATGCCCGGTAAGGCCAAAATATGGCAATATTATTTCAGGATAGAAGTAATGCACTCCTATTTAGGGAAAAACATACTCCATATTACTCTTATTTTGGAATTTCATATTGTTTTTGCTCATATTATTTTAAATCTAAAATATAGTCATTTAACCAAATTTCATATTGTTTAATATTATTTTAAATCTAAAATATAGTCATTTAACCAAATTTCAGTGTATTTTTACTTCTCTTGGTGGTTGATTATGTTTTTGAATTATATTTCCAAAACAAGAGAAATGATGGCTCTATTATTGGGAAAAAGTGTAATTTCAATTATGAAAAAGTGGAAATGGATTTAAAGAAATTAATACGTAGTATCATTTACATGACACTATGACAGTCCAGAAACAGGTAAAAAAACCTTAGTAATTCTAATCTGATTATCTGATATTCTAATATATACCTCATAAGTAAGCGTTCCACCGGAGGAATCAGGTTGGCGAAGTGTGACACTTGAAATCACTCCATTAGCTGAGAGTATACAGATTCCTCGAGGCCCTTGTTGAGAAAATGATATGATCTTCATGGTAACATCCTAAGCAAATCAAATGATAAAATTTTAGTTACCCAGAACTGCCAGAAGGTAGAAGTTGTTCAAATTACATAATAAAATACATATACAAATATATTCTGCTTATTCTTATTCTTCCTACTAATGTGCAGAACAAGCCAAAGGGTACCACCAAACGTAGCCTTATGATCATCGGTATACTTGTCAAATAAACCAATGGTTATGAAATTTTTACCTCCCCAGCATTGACTGTGATTATGTGGGGCGTAAAGTTGGCACCCAGTGAGGTAGATATCCATTCACCTAAGTATCAAGAGAGTACTCAAAATCAGCAACATTTACATACCCAAACATACATATAGTATCAAATAAAAAGAATCCTCATGAAAAATAAGAATGACTCTAGGGCTTTTAATTTTGAGATCTAATAACTCTATATATGCCAACAATGCAATAGATTTATCAAAAATACAGTGAGAGTTTGGTAAATAAATCAAAGTTCTTTAACACCGTAAAAAAGTGTAATAGACGTGCTTCACATTGGTATGCACTTGTTCTCATATTTCACGAGAGACGCTCTTTTTTTGGAACCGCACTCTATATGTGTACTACTAGGTCAGAATTACAAAAAAAAAAGTGTAAGCCAAAACAATCATTTATATATGTGTGTGTGTGTGTGTTTGACTACTAGAACATATATTATTGACCCATAAAAGCACCTTCATTGTTGTTCTGAAACAAAAATGCCAGCTATGAGAAACTTTAAGATTTCTCATTCCACCTGAGACTTTGAGATGTACCCATAAAACATCAAAAGATCATGGGTTGAGGCATCTATTCAGAGGTCCCACTCCTTCCAATCTCAATCAGATTACAGACTTAAAGAACATCACCAAACTCTATAAAATCCATCTGACTAACAAACCCAAACAGACCATTTCCTCATACGCAAACAGAGTTATCAACCTAAGGGGCGTTTGGCAAGGGCTATTTAGCAAAAATAGCTTTGGTAACATTTATTTCCACAAAATAAGTAAAAGCTGCTATTTATGCTCATTCCACTAATTCTACCAATAAGCCGGATCAGGCTACCAAACGGGCTCTGAACATCATAAGGCTACAAAAACTCAGATTCAAAGGCTTGAAAAACCAAATCTTTACCTGAAGGATCAAAATCCAACTTGGGCTGGCGGGGTTTGCTAACTGGCCCCACAGGTTGGACTTTTCCCCTCTTTTCAACGGCGGAGAAGTCTATTACAGAAAGTGGGGCCGACGAGGAGATCGGCTTAGGTGAGATGGGGAGGCTAAACAGGGCCGCCCCATCAGGGCTATACTTTCTTGGTCTTCCCCTCTTCTTCTTCATTGCAGTGGCATCTGCTCCGCCGGAGACGGCGGCCGGCGGCGGATGTGAGGAGACACCCATTTGCTGAGGTGCATGTGTTGATCCTTCTGCAACTTGGCTTGGAGACACACGGTAGTCTGACGGGACATCTGATCCCACCACTCTCACTTCACTCCCATTCAAACCCTCTCTTGTCTCCATACCTCCCAAATACTGACCAAGAATGGCAAGAACAGATTTTTTCCCCAAAACTAAAATAAAAATAAAAATAAAAAATTGTGCAAATTTTTTTTCTCAGCTGTTCTTCAAAAACCCATACTTTTTTCAACTCCAAAGTCTAAAATTTAGCGCTAAACCAGTTTAAACATAAATTTATACCCCGGAAAATCCAGAAAAAATTCAAAACAGACTTCAAAGTTCAAACCTTAAGAATAAGATTTAAAAAAATCAGAATTAATGTTTAGAAGCTTTGCCCTTGCTCAAAAGAACAAGTACAACAGAGTCAAATGGGAGAAAGGTAATGAAGAAATTCAAGAAAACCAACGAAATTACTTTAGATTTTTCAGAAATAAAACAGAGAAAATTTTATTTTTTAGTTTGGAAGTGATGAGGAAAATGTGAAAATGGCGTTTGAGAAGTAAAATTTAATTTGGGTTTCCTCTTATGGTTATCCGAATCCTGATATTAAATAATTAAATAATAGTAATAATGAGGAAAAAGAAATTATTAAATATTAGATCCGTAATTATTAATTATAGATATAGAAAGCAACGAAATTATGTATTTTGGTTAAGAAATTTTTTGGAGTCCGGTTGAAAAAGATTTAACAAAAAAATCAAAATAAAAATTCAAAAGAAAGCGTAGTTGGGGAAAGTGAAATTAGGTTGGCAAGTCATGAAGACAGCCATTACTCTCATTAAAATAATAACACCAATAATAATATAATAACAGCAATAAAGAAAATTAAATGAATGATATTAACATCACGCATAATATAGTAATCATAAACATAAGCATAATGATGATAATAATTCTTATTATTAAGATCGGCATTCAAACCAAATACGGATAAAAAGATTTGAATTGGAA